CTTTAATTTTTCCAATGAAGTCCTGTCTAATTCTGGGTCTAGTACTCCATTAAAATCTCCCAACAAGATGATATTTTCATAGTCAAGTTTTGCTAATTCTTCATATAATTTTTCATTAGAAGATTCCTTTATTTTCTAGGGACCCATATATAACTAGTATTTTAGTTCCCGTACTCAATATTTCTATCTCTACATAACAACCATTTTCGTCTGTTACCACTTCCTTTGCTGGTATATGTCTTTTTACATATATTACTACCCCCTTTTCCTCTCTTTAGATGCAGTTATATATTTCTTCCCTAATTTATAATTCTTGATTAATCTTCTCTCCTTCTTTCTAATATGTGTTTCCTGAAGACATATTACATCCACTTTATATTTTTTCCAAAAAATAAAATACTTTACCATGGCTCCTTAATCTTTAACATGTGTTCTTGATGTATGATTTATCAGCAATACCCTAAAGGGGAAAAACATCTCACAGATTGGGTTACCTGTAGAGAATAGGTAAGGGGTGAAGATCACCCCACACAAAAACATACACATCCTAACATGGGAGTGCATAAATGTGGCAAAGCCAGGAGCTAATTTTCTGCCATGGAACCTTTTGAAGGCTACACAGACTGCCAAAACATAGGGAAATGGAAGTGGATGCAGGTCTACTTCAGGTTTCTAAAACTGGCAACATTTAACATTAACTGTTTAAAACATGAAAAAGTACAGGGGGAACCCTCTGTAACCTATTTAAAAGATAAATTGCATCATCTGGAGATTTCAAGGAGAAGCAATTAACTCATGCTTATCTAATAAAAGGGCAATCTGGGGAGTCTGGAAGATTGGAGGGCCACAAAACCAGTCCTGGGAGCCATATGTTGTCTCAGGGGCATAGGACCGATACAGACCAGCAGTTTAGGCCAGCCTGGGGGTGGAGCTGGGGTGAGGCAACTGCACACTGGCCACCCCAACTTCATGCTGACTCTTCCCCAATGCTGTGCGCCCGTCCACACAGCGCACAATGCCAGGGCACCCTCCTGCCACCCCTAAAAGGAGCTGTATTTTGCTGCTCTTTTGGGGGCAGCAAAAATGAGGATCGGGGCTGCGGTGTGTGGTTGCTGCAACCCCAATCCACTGCTCCCAGGGGTGGCCCAGAGCTCCCCCTTCTTGGCATCTGCATCGGCCCATACTCTACCCACTCCAATATGGGTTAGCCTAGGAAAGGGCTGGTTAAATGCAGCTGTCCAGATGTTCTTGGGTTGCGATTCACAGCAGCCTGAACCTGCACAGCCAATGGTAAGGGATGATGAGAACAGCAATCCAGCCAGTCCTGGAAGCCGACACTTTGCCCAACCTAAAGCAAGAAAAATGTGCTTACATTATTGCTTATTTGTACTTTGCATAATCATAAAGCCACTAATCCCAACTCTAATTAACTGAGCTGGCAATATTGTGAGAGTATCCAAGCAGATGGAGCTTGGAAAGAAAAAGACGGCAACAAGGGGGTAATTAATTGTAAGGCAGGTGGCATAATCCAGAGAATGAGCAGAAAGGGGAGGAAGTAATTGACTCATTCCATATTTCCACTCTCCGTTTCTTTTGAAACACCTTATCAAGTGCTGAGTCACCAGAACCTCGCAAGATTTCCAGCTGAACACTAAAATAAAGGAAACATTCAACAACCAAGGAGCCTTTTCTTATCAATAGAGTTTTTAAGTCAGAGCTGTAGAGATATCCCCACGTTCCCCAGTTCTCTCCAATATTTTGCAGAAGCAATTACTCTAATAGGAAGAAACCCTCTGAGTCTGATTGAAGTTCCATTATACAGAGGCACCCACATACTCGCTCATTCCCTTACCAGGTTTGCCTGCTCTCATTTGACTGTAAATCAGAGACAGAGAAGAAAGGGCAGGAGAGAAAAGAAACATTATTATGGGAAGTGGCTTTATATGCAAGACAAACCATGGGTCCACCTAGTTCAGCACTGTCTATAGCAGGGGTAGGCAACCTTTTTGAGCCGGGGGCTGGGTTGCTGTCCCTCAGACAATTGGGGGACCGAAGCACCAAAATTAAATTTAAAAAATATTTTTTTAAAAATTAAAAAATATGCATGCACACTCTCTCAGCCCCAGAAAAGCCATGGCAAAACCAGTGGAGATTTTGCCAAGAAAACCCCAAGAACAAGTAATAACAACAATAATCAATATCATCATGGTGGGTGGCAGCGGTGGTGGTGGCAGGACTGGCCTGGGGCTAGTTCAAAGACCTTGGGGGGCTGCATCCAGCTCCCGGGCCTTAGGTCGCCTACCCCTGGTCTATAGTGACAGGCAGCAGCTCCTCAGGGTTTTAGATAGGGGTCTCTCCCAGAGCATGGGGGGGGGAATCACTTTTTGGACTTAAACTTCCAGGGTCCCTAATCCATCATGAGGCATTTTGGATTTCTGGCTAGGAGATTATATAACCAGATAACAAACAACATGGACTCAAATTCCCTCTGTTATTGTTAATGTGAACCTTCGGGTCATTTCTCACTTATGGTGACTCTAAGGCTCCATGGGGTCCTTTGCAAAATTTGTGGTGGGGGGGATGCCTTTGCCTCTCTCTGAGGCTGAGACAATATTATTTGCCCAAAGTGACCCAGAGCTTTCCATGACCAAGAAAGGAATAGAACCCTAGTCCTCACAGTTGTAACGAAATGATCAAACCACTACACCACACAAGCTTTCGAAACATGTTTGTTGTTGTTGTGTGCCTTCAACTTGTTTCCAACTTATGGAGACCCTAAAGCAAACCTATCACAGGGTTTTCCTGGTAAGATTTGTTTCAGAGGGGTTTGCCTTTGCCTTCCTCTGAGGCTGAGAGAGTGTGACATGCCCAAGGTGGACCACTGGATTTCGATGGCTGAGTGGAGATTCAAACCCTGGGCTCCAGAGTTTTAATCCAATGCTCAAACCACTACACCTCTCTTGCTTTCTCTCTCTTCCATACAACCATTAAATATACAGGAGTCATCTCCAATATATACTCTGGCAACTCTAGATTTTCATCATGGAACAAAAAAATTGAGGATCCAAATATAAGTCACTATACATCAGTATTCTTCACACACCATAGTTTTCCCCACATGGCTCCATGTTTGTGTGTTGAGCGGGGAAAAAATAATGTCAGGTGGAACATACTTTAGTCTCATTTTCTTTTTTCTTCTCATTTGGCAGAATATGGTTGTGTGGAAGGAGCAAATATTTTAGGGATGGGTGAATCTGTCAAGCTCAATTTCACTCAGGTTCCCATTTGTGCCCTAGTATGTTCATTCTGCCCTATGTTCACATAGAATTGCAATTTCTCTTGCAGCTGGCACAAAATAATTTGGCTTAGGTTTGTGCCCATTTTTCAAAATATGCACATTTTAATGCATATCTAGGAACTCCCCTCCCGTGCAAAAAATAAAACATTTTTGTTCCTTTTCCCCCAGAATATATACCAATGGCTAATAGTCAAAGATGATCAACTCTTGTTTCCTCAGAGAGAGCTAATGGACAGAGACATTTTCCTGAATGGGCAATTTAAGTGCTGGCAGTAGACACAGCCAGTGTTCTGCATGGCCTGTCTTTATGCATCTACTCAGTCATGGAAGTCCAAAATTTGCAATTTTCTGGAAGGGAGAGCCAAGGCATGGTTAGCTACAACTAGTTCCCTTGGAGAGAATGTAGCACAAGAACACATTTTGCTACTGCCTAGCAGTGATAAAGGGAAAATAGGAAACTTGAAAGCACTACATGTGAAAAGGATCTAGGGAGGCTTCTTAGTTGACCACAAGATAAAAATGAATCTATAGTGTGGCATCCAAAAAAGCCAATGAGGAGTATAGTGTTCAGAACTATAATGCCCATGAGATGAAAAATCTGTTGAACATGTTGTGCCTTACCTTAGAGCACTGCTTGAGAGTCTCTTGGAATGCCCTTACTAAGGCTGACACTGATAAGCAATCGCATACTGTCGAAATTTACAGATGACACCAAATTGGGAGTAGTAGCTAATGCCTCAAAGGGCAGGATCAAAATTGAAATTCAACTTCATATTAGACCATTGAGCCAAAACTAACCAAATGAATTTCTACAGGGAGAAATGTAAGGTACTATGTTTAGGTGGAAAAAAATATGGATGGCTCAGATACAAGATGTGTGACACCTGTCTTGACAACACTAGATGTGAAAGGAGTATTAGGAGTATTAGTAGACTGCAAGCTGAACATAAGTCAGTGTGATGCTGCAGCTAAAAAAAGCCAATATTATCCTAGGCAATAGGAGTATAGTGTCTAGATCAAGGGAATTCTGCTTTGATCAGACGTCACTTGGAATAGTATGTCCAGTTCTGGGCACCACAGTTCTAAAAGGATGTTGAGAAACTGGAATGTGTCCAGAAGAGAGTAACCAAGATGGTGAAAGTTCTGGAAACCATGCTCTACGAGGAGCAGCTAAAGGAGCAGGGTATGTTTGGCTTGGAGAACAGAAATGGCAACATGATAGCCATGTTTAAATATTTGAAGGGATACAGGGATAAATATTTGAAGGGATTAGTACAATGTAATAATAGTTTTGAATTCTAAGGAACTCTTGAACTGTAATTCCTTCCTTTTCCTTGATTTATGAAGAGCAGGTACAAAACAAATGAACAAAGAATCAGCAACATTAATAAAAGAAAGAAAATTACTTCTCTACTACTCCTGCATTAGCAACTTGCAATTAGCTTTATATGAGAAATAAGACAGATTTTTCAACCATTTGCTGGTAAATTTCTCTAGTTGCTGACAGAATTAGATGTGGTATAAACTTCCAAGATTTCCTTATTGTTGTTGTGTGCCTTCAAATTATTTCTGAATTATGGCGACCCTAAGGGGAGCCTATCATGGGGTTTTCTTGGCAACATTTGTTGAGAGGGAGGTTGCCCTTGCCTTCCTCTGAGACTGAGAGAGTGTGACTTCTCTAAGGTCACCTGGTGGGTTTCCATGACAAAGCAGGGATTCAAACCCTGGTCTCCAGAATCTAGTCCAATGCCCAAACCACTGCACTATACTGACTGTAAAACCAGTGAAGCTAATAGGAGTTGCTTGCATTTTCATTTCTCTTCATTAAAAAGGCAATCCGATGCTGAGGAGGAGAGGGTTGGGGGGAATCATTTATTTGTGTTCCTATGAAAAACCGACAGAAGAATAATCTCACAGGTCATTCAACATGCAGAAGAGAAAATAAATTGGCTAAATAAACCCCATTTCCATTTCAAAAGCTGACATTTAAGTGTCAAAACTTCAGGATGTATATTCAACAGCCTTTCCAAAGAGATCCCTTAGCTCCGCTTGAAGTAGATGGTTTTTTTGCCACCGCATTTTTGGTAATAAAATTGCTTGAATTCCCCAGTTACAGCTCCACTTAATGCAACAGTAAGCATTTTTGGTGATAAAATTGCTTAAATTCCCCAGTTACAGCTCCACTTAACGCAGCAGTAACCTACACAACTTTCCCTGTTGTCATGAGTAGCCCACATATATTTTGTATTACTAACCGGTCTATGAAATTGAGCTAGGTAGCCAAACTGAAAACTGGAGGGGGCTTCTGTTCCTTTAATGGTGGTGTAGAAGAGGGAATTTCAGCAAGTGTTGCTTGTCACACAGCCAGGTAACAAACAACACCTGCTCAAATTCCCTCTTCTGATCGGCAGTTAAAGGTACAGAAACCCTCTCCAGTTTTCACTCTAGAAATCTTAGGTGAGAAGCTACCTGGGGTAGACGTCCACCATCCGAAAAATTCCTCAAGTTGTCTTCATTCTTCTTTGGCACTATAAAAAGAGAAACTAGCAAGGCCACCCTACAATTGTTTGCATCTAAGCATCATTTTACACATATAGAAAGACACCAGAAAGAAAAAGAAAAACCAAAGAAAAGTGTGACAAGAAACAACGGATTCTGGGTAAAACGCCAGCCCAAGTTTGCATACTCCCCGACTGCTTCAATTTGCCATCCCATCTTTTCTACTACTTTAAAATGTCCCAGCTTCCCTCTCCTCCTCCTGCTTTGTCCTCCACATGCCCCCAGTGTGATATAGTGCTTTGACTGTTGGACTGGGGCACCAGGAGACGAAGGATCAAACCACTTCTCAGAATGGGAACCCACTAGGTGTCCCTGGGCAAGTCACACTCTCTCAGCCTCAGAGGAAATCTCTGGGCAAACTCCTTTGAACACAAGAAAACCCTGTGATAGGTTCACCTTAGGGATGACATAAGTCAGAAGTGACTGGAAGGCACACAACAACCATCAAAAGGTTGTCTTTTTTTCAAAATTCTGATGCTTACTCCCAAGACTGGGCTCTTTTCTAAGATTCTGCAGCAACATAAACATATAAAGATCACAGTGAAGTGGAAATCTGATGTGATCTGCTTAATGATTTTAACTTTCTTATGCCTTTTAGAGTAGCCCTCGGTACAGTTGGTGCAAAATTGCTCTGAAAGGGGTCAGCCATGATGCAGGTGGAAAATCAGTTGGAGCATGCAGTCTTCTCAAACTGTGAAAAGGAATTTAATGTACGACAAGGACAACGAAACAGGCTTGATGAGATTCATCGCCGGTCAGAGAACTTATTTGTGTAGGCAGCACTAAGCCGGTGACACCTAAATTGTTGAAACAGCACTAAGCCTGCAATACCTAAATTGTAAAAGGGATGCTTAATGGCCAGTGAAAAGGAACAGCCATATTCAGTTATTCTCCCATGAATTTTTTTTTAAATTGACATTTAGAAATCCTTGTGAAATTATACAATGGCAATGGGTGAGAAATGTCCAAAATGACATTTAAACTTGTGTCTGGGGATGCTGGATTTTCAAATTAAGGGACCTAACTCAGATTTTCCATGCTTATATGTGAAAAGAACTAAGGATGGGAAAGAACATTCATTAATTTCTGTGTTCTTGATGAAACAGGATCTTTGATACGCTTAGACCAGGGGTAGGCAACCTTTCACCTTTCAGGGCCGAGGGACTTCAGCTCCCAGAAGCCTCAGCCATGTTG